AACTATATCACAAGAACCCTACCTGCACAAAGTTATAGCAAAGTTTGGCATGAAAGAAGCTAGGTTCGTCAATGTTCCCCTTGCTACCCATATGAATCTCTCATCTGCCCAGTGTCCAAAAATTGAATCTGAAATTAAAGATATGACAAATATTCCATATGCCAATGATATTGGATCTGTTATGTTTTCCATGATTACAACACGACCCAATCTTGCATATTTAATCAATTTTTTAAGTAGGTTTATGACAAACCCTAGGAAACCACACTGGGCTGGGTTAAAGTGGCTACTTAGATACATAGTTGGGACACTAAATCTAGGATTGGTGTTCAAAAAGGGATCGGAACCATTAACTCTTAAAGGTTATGTGGATTCTGATTTCGTTGGAGATAAAGATTAAAAAAAATCTACGATTGCCTTCTTTTTTACACTTGGTGATAATTGTATTACTGTTCCGTGAAAAGGGTATGGGTGATTTTATGAGTTCATGTTGATTAGTGTCTGGATTTGCAAATCGTGAAAAAGATAAGTCTTTTTGTGACTTGATCTTTGTACTTTTGAACCAATCTTGTATTTTGGTCGTTGTTTATAGCTTTATAGTGCAATCGATTGTTATTTATTTTATATGAATGCTAAATAGAGGATTAAGTGTTAGAAGCTGTCATTGAGCCTCCAGGGCTTCGACTGAAAAATTCCTTGTGTTCAACCTTTAATTTTCTACCAAGTTTTACTTGCCGTAATTTTGGATTCGTGTGATTGATCGCTTATATTTGTATTTCTGGGCATTTCACTCTCTAACTTTCATTTTTTGCCATTTTAACAGAACCATTTAATCTTGTTACATGCTTATTAATGGATAATGTTCGTCCATATTACCAGGAAAAAAACATAGTTTTGCTGAAATAACGATTTAACTGTTGATCTTAATTAATAACTAAAAAATTTAAATAAAAATTTCTCTGTTGTTTCAATTTACCACTTAATTTCATTTTTAATTCTTTTGATGACACTTAACAAAATTATAAGGTTACGAGGCAAACTTCAAGGCTAAAATTTAAAGACCAATTTCGTATACAAGCTATAGATTTAAAACTTAAGCGTTTTTTGATTTTTTTCAACTTCTAATACTGAATGAGGATTTTAAAAACTATTATTAAATACTTTTTATCTAAAAAAAATATTTTTTCTTAATTTTGACTACATAGTTTATATACCACATAGAATTCTTCAAACTTCAGAATATTAGGAATAGTATGAAACATATATAGGGACAAGTCTGGCGGCTTAGAATGGTAGAGTTATTTAAACATACGTTATTTTCAAAACAACAGACTTTTAATTTAAAAGTCTTGCCTTTTTTTTTTTTCCCCTCTCTCTTTAAGAAAGGTACTTTCATTTTTTCCTAAGCCAAGTAAAAGATGCCAACTTCCACGTTGAGTAAATTGACTAATGATGTGAAATTAAGACAAAACTTACGTGATTAATTTCCTAAGTAGATATTATTTATTATCTTTAGATAATGCTTAATTACAAGACGCCATTAACTGATTCAGTGCATGATATCAATTTCTATCGATAGAATACTAAGCTCAAAATTCATGAATGACAACTATACTCATATGAATGCAAAAAGTTATTTCATGAATGAAAAGAGAACCTTCAAAATGCAACAGAAATTCTTGTTAATTACTCGTATACTTAATTAATAACGATAAATATGTAGAAAGATTTTAATGAATGAGACACATTTAGCATGTTTATTGCATAATTCGATCATATTCGCAAAAATATTTTATTTATATGTAGATGCGAACACGATACGATATAGACATGCCCGATTTATAATATCTAAGATAATTTATTAATTCATTTATCTTAAAATTATTTGTGTTCCTATAAACAGCAACTGGCACATGGAAATGACAAGGACTGTGACCCAACTGCTAAACTAATACCATTAGGCAGATTAAAAGGTCCATTTCTCATCCTAATCAGCTCTACACCTAGAAAAACTTCCACTCTTATCTTCTTCCACACAAAAACATAAATTAATGCAAAAAAAATTGTGAATTCGAGAAAGTTAGAATTATACGTTTGATACGTGTAATGATATTGAATTAGATATTATAATTAACAAATTTCATTATACAATTCTCCTGTTTAATTATTTGTAGTTGATAGGCGCCTTTTTGTGAGGCTTTTATTAGTCTGCTATTAGTTTTTGTCGTGTCTGTTTTTCATGACGAAGGTCGAGCTTAGAGTGCATTGAGAATAAAAGCTGTGTTACGAGTTTTAGTGCATGAGGGAGGTTCGAACTGAAGGGATCAAGAGTAGGGCTGGGCAAATCTCCCGAACCCGAACCGAACCTAAACCGAAATGAACCAAATCCGACGATTCTTGTCAAATTAAATACCCGAACGAGTATTTGAATTAAGAACCAACGGGTACGGTTCAGTTCTCGGTTCTAGACCAAGAACCGAAAAATCGAATAAGAACCAAATCTTTCTTATTTATTTTTTTTATATTGAGTAAATCAAATTATTTTAATTTTAATTTTTTCTAAACAAATTAACAAATTAACAATTTTTAAATCCAAATTTTTGGCCCAATAATTTGTTTCATTTCTAATTTTTTAATTTTTGGCCACATTACTCATTTTATTGTTTTATTTCTTAGCCCAACAAGATTCAATCAACTAAATAACTCTAAACACCCACACTAGAGTGCATAACGTTGTCTCGACTCTCGCACTCACTATCACAGCCTCGCTGATATTTCAAAACCTATACAATCGTCGGCCGATGCTATGACCTCCGATCGAAGCTGCGACCTCCGGCGATCGAAGTTTTGATCGTAGCGATCATTTGAATAAGGTAGTCTACTAGTCTATGGCATTTCAAAACCATTGAATGTATCATTAGTTGTATTTATATAATATTGTTATAAATGTTAAAAATTTTAATTATAGTACAGAATCGAACGGAACGGAAATGAACCCGAACCGAACCCGAACGGTTCCATAATTATATTTGGACCCGACGGCTCCATTTACTAAATACCCGAAAATTTTAGTTCGGTTCGATTCTAAAGAGAACCGAACTGACTCGCGCCCACCCCTAATCAAGAGCCTATGATGTCGTACAAAGTTGAAGACATTGATGAATGAAGTTTGAAGAAGACGAGTTAAGAATTTCCCCTTGAGAAAAAGTAGAAGTTGTAGCATATAAGGACAATTGTAAGGGAAAAATACGCAAACAAAAAATTTGGACTTAAAATTTCGAAGAACAATAAGGGGAAGAAGGAGCTAGTAGCTGCACTTTTGGAGTAAAGCTTGAAGATTTATCAACCACCCTGGTTTTCTTCTCTTCTTCACAATCAAAGTGATATTCTGACTTCTAAATAGGACTGGACATTATCCGTTTGGTTTGGTTCGAACCAAATTTGAAATTTCGGGTATTTAATAAGTAGAATCGTCGAGTCCAAATTTAACTATTGAACTGTTCAGGTTCAGCTCCATTTGATTTCTGGGTTCTGTACAGTAATTAAATATTTTAATATTTATAAAAATGTTACATTATTTCAATTAATAATATATGTTCAATTTTAACTCTTACAAAATAACATATTCCAATTTTATGTCTCTTTTGCACATCTCTTTGTTAAGTTTTTCATATATTCGGTTGTTAAAATTACAAGAGTAATATAACAAGTTCACAATAATGAAGAGAGTCGTAACCCAGCTTCTAATTCGATTTCTCTAGAACTATAGAAACGTCACTACAGTAGAATAATATACTTGAGTAAAACTTATACCAATTTGATTAAATTGGGGTTGGGTTGAAAATTAAAAATAGGAAAATCATATTTTAGATTTGAGCTAAATCAATTACTTAACAAATTTATTTATTAAAAAAATAATTTGGCAAATTTAAGATAAATAAATTAAAAAATTAAGGAAATTTGATTTTTATTTGGTTCTTCGATTCATCGTCTAGAACCTATGAATCCAAGATCGAGAATTGAGGTAAACCAATCAATTTTCTATTCAGATACCTGTTTGAATATTTAATTTAAAAAGAACCACTCAATTCAATTTAGTTCGGGTCAGATTGAATTCACCCCGATTCAATTCAGGAGTGTTGTCTATCTCTAATTTCAAACATGTGTTGTGTTAGTTGATTATCAAATACCTAGGATGTTAATATATCTTGTACATTTGATGCTTTAGTTTTTGAAATGTCCTGACACATGATATTAATCACAAGATATGTTCAATCAATAACAAAACAGAAAGTAAAATTTGCAAAAATTAAAAGATTTGACACAAAAAAAATTTTGACCGTAGTCTCAGAGTTTCGATGACCTTTTTAACACCTAATCCCTTGTTGAGCATCCATTCAAGAATGAATATAACTCTGTTGCACTAAAATGCCTTAAAATTAACAACGAATGTTACATATATTCAGCCAACATAAGAATATAATACAAAAGACTTTATCTTTTCACAAGAAACCGACAGATTTGACTCGAATCACACAAGAATCAACAAATCTCCTTCATGAACTCAAAACATAAGAACCCTCTCGTTCATTCATATTTTTACTCAAGAAAACACATATATTCTAAGGCTAAAACATCAAAAATCATATCTTTGAATGAGAACTTCAAATGGTAATGACAGATCAAAAAACCCTAGCCACTCGAACCTCTCTAAAAAATGAAAAGCCAGAAAAAATGAAAATATCTTGCCAAACGAACCGTCCAAGTCATATTTATATCACTAAGACCAATGCCTTATCCAATGGTAAGTAAAATGTCGGATATCATCATCTAGTGTAAACCGTCATTTTATAAAAACGTGTTTTAGAAACGCGTTTTTAACTGAAAGATATGGGAGCACAATAGAACCAGGATTCGAGTCTCAACAGTTTTATTATCTCATTCAAATAAAATTAAGGTTAAAATTTTCAATATTTATCATAAAAACAATTCTCTATTCATTAATTTATTATTTGTCATATCCTATATCTAAGATTATCGATTACAAGCAACACCTATGTCAAGTCTTAAGTTTGTGAAGTCTAAATTTCATTAAAAAATAAACCAATTAAACAATCACTATCACCTACTACATTTCTATTTTCACAAAAGAATCCCACTAACCAAATGCATAAAATAAAATATATTACAGAGTTTCAGAATATCTTGAATTTTAGCCTTCAAAACATTTCTAACTTTGCCGGCAGAGAAAGTCGCGATCTTTTAGCGGGGTGGGGACTCTCAACTTCATCTTCACCCGAGCCCAATCCCGGCCAGAAATCCGGCAAAGCCGGCTCGTTAAGGTCGAAGTCTCGGTGGTGGGTAACGGTGGATCCAACTCCTTCCGATGACATCACTGCACTGCTACTGCCGGCTCCTCCGTTGTTACTGGGTGCCCTACCTTCATAGTGGCACCTTTTGTGACCCCCCAAGGCTTGTCCGGTGGGGAAGCACCTGTGGCAGATGGAACACTCATGGACCCTCCCACTGCGATTCCTTGCACTCGTGGTGGTGGCTGAAGCAGTGATGGCGGCAGCAGAGGAGGAGGAGGTGGTGGTGGAGTATTCGTCTCCTCCACTCGGACAACTCAGTTTCCGGTGGCTGGCCTTGTGCCCTCCCAAAGCTTGGTAAGACCCAAAAGCTTTATCACAAACGGAACACTTGTACAACAACTTCGTCGAATCATCAGATTTCATCACTGGTGGCGGCGGTGGTAGAAGACTAGTTTCCTTTTGCTGCTGAACGGCGGCGGGTTTTGATGCTGAACCGCCGTCACCTCGAGCAAGCATAATAAGGCAGAGAGCCAAGTATTCTTCTTCAGTGGGCTGATCATGGCGTTCGACGCTGCGTTGACGCTTCGATCTCTTGCCTTTCGTCCACGGCTCGAGATAGCGTAGGGTGGCGTTTTCGAACTGAAACGCCGGAGTTGGAGTCATAGTAGAAGGAGAATTCAATGCTTCAAGTGCCATTACTGAACTAAAATTTGGAGAAATTGAGAAAGCAGAAAATTGAATTATGAGAAAAGAATGGGCATGGGAGAGTGGCTATATACAGCTAGGCGGAGAAGGGGGTGAGGAAGTTGCGTGACAAGTGTTAGGAAAGTACGGTTACTATTACAAAACTAAAATAAAAAAACATGTGGAAAAAAAATTGGTTGAGACACAAGTGGAAGGGAAGTGAATGGACCGGAGACTTATTCTTAGTCATACCATCTAGAATATTCAATTTATGTAACTCTATAAAACTTTTGTGTTGACTAAATCTTGAAGCAAATGCCGGCCTTAGCACATTTGTGTGAGTTACTACAACATAAAAAGTAATGATATTTGTATATTATTACGTATATAATGGTGTACAGATGAATTGTATGAAAGAGAGAACGGAAAATAGAACAATTAAAAGAAAATAAATTCAGTTATTATAATCTTTCTCTCTCTTTCATACTATCTATATGCACACTATTGTGTATATAATAATGTACAAATTGCATTTCTAAAAAGTTAATTACATTTCATTCTAATTAAGGATTCTTGCGATATTAGAGGTTCCAACTTGATTAGATTTCTTTATCGATATTGATGTTCCATCTGTTGGAAAAAGGTAGAACTCGTTTCATATAGAAAAAAAGATGTAAATTTTGGAATTTGGATCGAAATGGAATCTCTGAAAATCGGGTCGATAGTTTACATTTTAAATTAATGTCACATTTGTTAAATAAAATTGGTAATGATTGTAAAGAAAAATGAAAAAAGAAAGTCATCACTTAAGGAATCGCTCATAATACATATTAGCTAAATGGGAATAGGAAGAGAAAGGGTGTTTGTTCATGGTAAATTTGACCCAATGTAATATTTGACTTTTATAATCTTTGGTAAGCAATAATTCATGCATCTATAAAGGCGGCGATTGTGCTTTGCACATTGCAAACTGGTGAACTTGCACTTGCCTCACACGTGTTTCTCATGATCAGGGATGACAATTTTGACTTTTAGACTGACTTGTTTAAATGAAAATTCTACAACTAAAATATATTATCAATTCAAATAATTATTTTGTATTCCACTCATCTTTTATTGAGAGCATTACAATTCAACAATACAATTTGCAGTTGCTCACTATCGTAATCATCTTACGTGATATTCATGTGGCCATTAATAATTTGATGCATAAGGAAGTAAAAAAACTATTACATTAATGCATCAAATCACTAATTGTCACATGAATGTCACGGAAGACAATTATGGAAGTAAGCGATTGCAAATAGTATTACTCATTACAATATTGTACACATACTGACACATGAATATATTTAAGGATTGTAGTATTGACACATGTATTTATTAGTAGTAAGGATCGTACAGATTGCGTAGATATGAGACGTATAGAAAATCAAGAGGTCATATTTATGAGAATAACGTTACAGATATAGTAGTCTATTTGATTGATTACAGGAAGAACAAAATGGGAAATAAAAAGCTACAAAACTATTTTAATTGCTAAATAGAGAGACTTGCAAATCGAGATAAGTGTATTACACAGTATCTTTAAAACAATCTCACTCCCTCATTATAAGTGCTTGAAGTTTTGTTTGAACTCCTATTTTCTAGGATATTACGGAGAAACCAGTAGAACTGAGTACTTAAGTTTCTATACCGAAGAGCTGAATTAGATTCGAACTATCACAAAACCTCTTGACACAAAGTGAAAAATTCTGAGCAGAGTGAAATTGAAAAGAAGATGGGAATTTCATATATCTGGATTAAGGAAAAACCAACTATGTAACAAGCTCTGATAAGTGACTTAAAGAGTTCGTCAGTTACATGTGTTACAACTGTTGACACTTTCATAATCCTGCTTTTTAGTTTTCCCATTAACGTAGGCAATAAACATAAGAGTTTCAAGAAATTTTAGGAATTGGAAAGTAAGTTGAATAAAAAAATTAAAAATTATAGGAAATAAAGGAAAAACGAGAACCTTTTTAAGTGGCCAATTTTGGTTTGACATTCATGTAAGTCACGACTGCATACAAGTTCAATTGCCCAAGGTGGTGATCTATCATATCATTTGCACTCCTAGGCGTGTACATAGAAAGATAATCTAAAATACACGTAATTAAACAGAAGTGTGGTTATATAAAAACTAGTTATTGTCTTATTCATTTTTCCATGTGAGACAAGCTTTGTTTTTTTCCCCCTTCAACACAAACTTTTTCAATTAGTACACTTTGAACTCCAATTTTTTATTTATACGAACATTATTTTGGCAAGTAAATATAGATTTTGCTATTCTCACGTAGAAGAACAGTAATCCACTTTGATCTTAAAAAATAGAAGAATGGGTCCCACTCAAAATTATGCCAAAATAGATCATACACAAGCCATTTTTCAACAATCTCATTTCTTTTGATGACTTTTAAACAAACACATTATTAATCATTTGGTTAGCGAATTCGTAATGTTATCCTTTTCATCATATAGTCAATAGAGATAATTTTAGTTGAGACTAGTTGTCTTAAAGTATTATATTTACGAGGTATATGTTTATATTTACTATTATGCATGTTGCTTTGCACCCTTCCAATTCGTAGATGTCAATGTGTGCATATTGATTGCACCGGCTATGGCCACATTGGAATATCCTTTTAGAAGTTGTGTAGCCACTTAGCCTCTTCACTAATTTGCCCAGGGCTATAAACTCAGATTTCATAGTGGATTTGGCTATAATTGTTTGTTTAGATGGTTTCCATGATATAGTTAAATCTCCCAATGTGAACACAAATTCATTTGTAGACTTTAAGACTTTTATACTAGATACTCATTAGCATCACTATATCATTTTATGATTATTGAATATATGGTATAGTGTAGTCCATAGTTACGAGTATCTCTTAAGTACCTTAGTAATGTTACTAACTTCATAAGCTCTTTTTGGTATTGTACAATTTATTAAGTACATTTCATTTCAAATAATTTTAGAGTACTTCACTTGAGAGGCACTTTTACCTTTATTTTTAGATAGATGCTGACATGTATATATCAGTGTTCTAGATATATCGAAATCATCATTGTTAAACTTTTCAATAATTTTGTCTACATAATGTGACTGAATTAGAACCAGTCCAACTAATATTCTTAAAATTTTAACTCTAAATATAACATCAGCTAAACTCAATCTTTCTTTTCAAATCTTAAATTTAACATATTTTTAGTAAGTTTAATTATCTTAGCGTTGCTACCAACGCATGTCATCAATGTAAAGACATAAAATAACATAACCATTTTTGATGTCTTGGACGTAAATACATTTGTCTAGTGGTTTCCAAGCTATATAATAACTTCACCAATTTATAAACTTTTTTTTTCATGTTCTCGTGTTGAAAAGCCCTTAGGGTGTTCTATGCAGAATTCTTCTTTTGAACCTCTATGAAAATGCAATTTTAACATCTATTTGACGTACTTTAAGATTTCGCAGAGTTTTAATCGCAATATTATCCTAGTAGATGTTATTCTCATTACTGAAAAATACGTATCTAAGTAAATTAAGACCTTCTCATTGCCTGAACCTTTTATTGCTAATCTAGCTTTAACCTCCTCGATGGTTCCATCTACTTTTATTTTTATCTTGAAAATTTATTTGTAACCTAGTAGTTTGAATCCCTGAGGAAGATCCACAACTCCCAAGCATGATTTTGCAAAATGTAATCTATTCACTTTTAATAGCCTCTTTCTACTAAGATGCTTCTGAAGAGTTTGTAGCTTCTTGGAAGTTTCAAGGTTTACTTTCTAGCATATGTATCAAAAAATCAAGACTGCAAAATTTTTTCTGTCTTCTTTCTTTTGCTATGTCTTAGTTCAACCTCAAATTGCTCTTCTAGTCCTTAGTCCTATCTATTTTTAATCGTAGTTTCATGTATCCATTTAGATAAGCTTGCTTCCTTTATGAATCTGTACTGATATACATACAAATGTTTTGTGCTATCTTTGATAAAAGTAATGAAGTTTTTATTCCTATCTATTGTTGTACTGATTTTAAATCACATATGTCACCGTAAACTAAATTTAGTGGCTCAGTATTTCTTTCAATCGATTGAAATGATAACCTTGACAATTTGCCTCAACTCAAGGTTTACACTTATACTTAGAATCAATATGAAATGCGGGTTTACAATTCAAGTTAATTAATCTATATAAAGTTTTATAATTAACATGTTCTAGTCTATCATGCCATAAATTGGATGATTCAAACAAATAGAAGAATTAGCTTTATTCATTTTCAATCAACAACCATTACATTAAGTTTTAATAACCCATAACTTGCATAACCCTTACCAGCAAATATCTAGAAGCAATTCAGACACTATGTTCTTGCAAATTTTCGACACATACAACAAATTATTAAGAGTGAGCTCTTTCTCACAAGTCATCTTTGTAACTACATTTCATTGACCTATGATTTCAGAAGTTTTTAAATTTTCATAAACAACTTCTCTCCATTCTCGGTTGCTTCGAACGAACTGAATAACTCAAAGCAAACATGTCTTATAGCACTGGTCCCATTCTACCACTTTTTTTGGGTTTGAATCTATCAAGTTCACTTCAAAAATGATGGCTACGAAGTTCATTTAAGACACATCATGTTCCATGTGATTAACCAAATTCATTTCTTTCTTATTGTTCTTCTTTGACAATCTACACTTAAAAGATTTATGGCATTCTTTGTCATAGTTGAAGTATTTTTCTTAAAACTTCTTGTTAGAAATTTTACCCTTTTGTCTTAACTTAGTCCCTTTGCCACCAGATAGCTTAACTTGTTCTTGTAGATCTTAGAAGTTTGACAATGCTCCACAATATTATCTTTAGTCACAACAGGATTGAACGTCTTCTTTTCCAAATTTCTATTGTCTTTTTCAATTTGAAGTCTAACCATCAATTCATCAATATTCATTCGTTTCGCCAATGCTTGAGGTAATTTTTTAAATCATTCCATGTTGGAAGTAACTTTTCAATAGTAGCCACTTAAAAAGTTC